GTAGTTTTTCTATAGTGTACAGATAAGGTTAATCATGAGCCACTCTGACAGCACTCATTTTTCCTCAGCCATGTTTTCCTCCAGGAGTCTGTGCACTGAACTGCTGTTTTCTCATACTCTGCATGCACATGTAAGCGTGTGGGTGTGTGTGTGTGTGTGTGTGTGTGTGAGTGAGAGAGGGAGAGGGAAAGCGGAGCAGGAACGTGGGGGAGGTCGGGTCGAGTCGGGCATCCATTCGGGGCGTGTGTCAGCTCAGGATTGAATGGAGACGGAAATATGTGAGTGAAGAAGAAAAAAAAAGAAAAACACGGACGCGAAGTAGAGTCCGCAGGCCAGAGAACATTTCACATTCACTGATCCGAAGCGATTCAGCAAGAGGAGGATTTCACTCGCCTGCAAACTGTGAGTTTATGAAGAAAAGAGGGATTGTTTCTTCTTTTGTTTGTATCGCGTGGATTATTCTTCCGGGGAAGAGAGATACAAAGAGGCGAGTGAGAGTGGCTGCTGCATGTATCATCTGCGGGATGCAGAGTATCAGTTATACTTCCGTTTAAACAGTTTCTCATTAATATCTCATTTGGATGGGTTTCTATTACATGTTATATTCAGTCTAGTGTTGCATGATATGTCTGAAGTAAAACAGTTGGCCGTGACTCTGTCGTGGACTTTGCATGTAAATGCACCTCAGGATCCGCTCTCATTGTTTTCTGGGCTTCTGAATGAAGCTTTGCTGGAGCGGGTTTAAGAGCAGCTTCTTTGTGTTCAGAGATCCGCAAATTCAGCCGTTTGGAAGAAAATGTACAGCCGGTTATAGCCTAAGACGTTTTATGTGTTGAATCTCTTTTTGTAACCACAATTAATAGTTTGAAATTGAAAGAAAGTGTTGTTTTTTTCTGTTTGGATGAGTCTCAATACAGTGATATTTAGCATAATGATTCATTTTAGTGAATCGATTTGTTTCAGTAACCGCTTCGTTCGAATTCCCTCCCAGAAGTCTTCTTGCGTTTGATTTTGTACGTTTTTGGGGTGTATCTATATTTAACTTTGTAAATTGTGTTATTTTAACACGTGTTTATGTTTATGATCCCAGCGCACCACCTACCTCGCAGTCGAGCGATTTACGAATGTGGTGCGAATCGGTTCGTCTGAATGATCACTTTGAATCGGTTCAATAGAACGATTCGTTGGCCATTCAGGCATCGCTAATGATAATTATTCACTGGATCCTGTTACACTTAATGATTGTTAATATTGTACATAAAATGTATAAAACATTCATATAATCACTACATGTAACTTTTGGGATTTTTTTTGTTTGTTTTTAATCGTTAGCGTTTTCCTCGAAACTTAATTGCATACTTTTCCCATCTGAGTTTAGTGATTTTCACATTTTGAGTACATAATTGTAAAACAAACTCGCACGTTTTAAAAGTGATTTGTTCATTGTTTGTATTTCGCTCTCTAAAGCGTAGCGAGACCTCAATAAGAAATGCTCGCGCTACTTAATATTTTATTGGGTTTTTTTGTTGTAAATTGTCGTTATTATTTACGTGCAGAACGTAGACACATTTGTTTCTTAGTTTTATTCGGTTACGTTGCATCTAGGTTACTGTGTCACGTCGAGTGTGGTCGCATGAAGGCCCGAAAGCCTCGGACTCTCGTAGGCGCGGGCTGCGGGGGTGTCGCGCATGTCACGCGGCGGTGATTGACGCCGCCAGTCCGAGGCTTTGAGGCCCGCGCGGTGCGATGAGCTCTCAGATGTCTCCTGTGCCGTCTCCTAGGAGACTGTAACCCGAGCACGGCATTGAAACACTCAATGGACGCTCATTTCAAAACAGTTTGACATTCACAGTACGTTTTCCATTCTTCATAAACGAAAGTGCACTGTAGGTGATTTTTTAGGCTTCATTTGGTGCCTGTAATGTGTCTTGTGACACTTGAACATGTGTGTTTGTACATCTGTGTTGTTGCTTAAATAGGTCAGATGAGAGCAGAAATAATGGGTAACTGTATATGCAGGCCAAATCCACACCTGGGACCGGTGTGTTAGTTCATAAATCACAGCTGCCACGCCTCACCTCCTCCACACCCATTACTGCAGCTGCCGAACGCATCTGCACCGAATACCAGACCAGCTTCTGCACCTTTACAGTAAAACTGCAGTGTCGAGTTATCCTGGATTCATATATTCAGATGCAGTCTTGTAGGATGTGGATGCTTGGTTTGGAGTCATATAGACGTTTAGAAGATGTCTTTAAGATGTTTATGATTTGAAAAAAAACAGCATATGCTGGTTAGGTATGTTTTAAAGTTGGGATGCTGGTTTGAGCTGGTTTAAGCTGGTCCTTTGCTGGTTTATGCTGGTCCTTAGCTGGTCATGTGCTGGTCTTAAGCTGGTCGGACCAGCACATGACCAGCTAAGGACCAGCTTAAACCAGCATCCCAGCTTCAAAACATACCTAACCAGCATATGCTGGTTTTTTCAACAGTGTATCTTAAAGACGTCTGTCAGATGTTTGTACACATGCTTTCCAGATGAAGCGATCTTGAACAGAACATCTTGCAGACGTAGGCTACGTGTGCTATCTGGGAAAGCCCCTTTTCTTTCTAGAACTGGAATATTGTCCATCCTATTAGTTATTGGTCATATACTGATTCATTTAGTTTCAGGTTGTTTTGCTCATCACACCTGTATCTGAAGTGTTTACGAGCGGTTCCCACATAAATGCAAGTGTTGCCAGGAGGTGTTGCGTGTAAAGTTGCAGACAGATTTTGATGGAAATAAGGTTTGTTGTCTATTATCAGTGTAACAATGTATGAATCACAGATCATGCAGAACTTGGCCAACATGGACTAGTTGCGAAATCTTTCGTAAAATTGCCCTTTACATGGATTCCTATTGAAATTACTAGATTTTGCTTGCAAAAATTAATTGAACAACATTAAATGTGACCAACCTTAAAGGCCTGCTCACACCAAGGAGGGTAACTATAAAGATAACGATGAAGATATAGTTCTAAAAATCGTTCTCAATATTAAAGAATAGCAGAGTCCACATTACAGCTATAACGGTAACGGCACAGAGAATCTTTTTTTTTCGCAGATAATGAATCAATCCTGCTGTAACGAGCTTGAGAATTTAAAGCGGCAGACGAGAATGTGCTTGGTGTGGTAACTGTGATAATTTGAGTAATTTAATGATTCTGGTTCAACTTTATGATTTCATGAATGATTCTTTCAGTGCTCTGGAGGAAGATTTTACGAAATGTTCACGATATTTCAGTTCCCCTTATTTCACAAAATCCTTTAAATTTAATTGTATACAGAACACAATTATAGTGGCACTCCTTAATATCAACATTTACTATAAATGCCAAGTCTAAATGAATTTAAAGTGTGTGCATGTGAATGAATTTACTGAATTAACCGTCATTAACCAAACTGATTTCTGTTAGCAGTGCAAGAGCTGATATGTTGTGTGTGCGCTAATTGATGCTAATTAGCTTTGGGATATAAGTCATAGCATGTTTGAGATGATTAAAATCCTGGCTTGTAGTCTAAACAACATGATACTACTCCAAAAAATGCATTATGAATCCCAGCACCGCTTGATTCACGGTTGGGTTGAATCTCTGAAGGTCTCCTCAGACTGATGGGTGACACATGTTCAGAGTCCGTCCTGGACAAATGGTGTCTTATCAGCTCTGTAAACAACTCCTGACGGCCCACACACACAAGAGACGCGTCTGTCTGTTTCCGTCTCACATGAGTCCTGTTAGGAGACAGAAATGTGAGCGTTAAGAGCAAAAATAGACGGCGGAGTGCTGGCTCTTATTTAGATAATCAGATTGAGCCGTTACTTAAGAAACGGCCAAAACAACTCGGCCCGTTTGTTGATGAAACTAATGCAAAAATAGACGTCTGTTATTTCTTTACACTGGTTTGCGTTTCATGCGTTCATATACGGCGGCCATAGAAACACCCCCACCCTCCTCCCGACCCCTCACACATTCATTCCCATAGCAACAGCCAAGCTCAGTTGCCGTGGAGATGACAAGCGATGGCTGGGGAATGTGTGTGTGTGTGTGTGTGTGTTTGAGTAATGGGGTTTTTATGAGATGCTGAAGTCCTTGTGCGGGACGCTCGGCTGAGATTAGTTAAAGTTTTTTGATGTTCTTAAAGTGTTTCAGAAATTCCTGTTCAGTGCAACAGCAGTCTTTAAAGTTATTTCGGATTGATTAGGAATGCTGATAATGTGTGCATGTGAGTGGTTCGAACACAATGGGCATCATTCAGTCACATGAGCAGAATGAATGTCTGCGGAAAATCGCTGTTCAGGAGATGTGTAATAGCGCCCCCGAGTGTATAACAGTGAAAACACGGAAAGCCGTAAAAACTCGTCTTTGGCGGGGAAGCGTTTTCTTCTAAAAGATGAGATAACTCGTCAGTGGCGGGGAAAGAGTTAATATAACTTTGATTGTATTCGTCACGCTGTCGGGACCCTGAACCGGGTGTTTGGGTCTGAGTTGAACCCGTGTGAGATGTTCAGGCGTTCAGTGATGGGATGCTGATGCTCCATAGTTGTCGTCACAGGTCCGTCCTCTCCTCTCCGTCAGCCTCCAAGATAGATTCTCTCAGGAGTAAAGTGGAACTGCTGAAGCTGCCGCTGACCCTGTCGTCCAAATCCATCTCGGAGCGCAAGACTCGGCTGGGCGGAGCCACAGAGCGCTCCAGGGGCGGAGCTGGGGCCCACAAACCCCGCCCACCGGCCCCAGACATGGACAACGAGTCGCAGTACTCGGGCTACTCCTACAAGTCTTCACATTCACGCAGCTCTCGCAAACACAGGTACACGCAGATCACATACGCGTACGAAATTATTCCTGCTTATTCAGTCCTGGAGATCTGCTTACCTGCTGAGTTCAGTCAGACACACCTGCCTGTGATTATCAAGAGCTCCTGAAGATCTCAGTCAGCTGCTTCATGTGGAGCACAACTTATTTTGATGTTTTTGTTTTTTATGTTTTAGAAATTATTATTTTCTGCTCATCAAAAATACAGTAAAACAGGGAAATGTTATTACAATTTAAAGTAGCTGTTTTCTATGTGAATATCTGTTCAAATGTAATTTATTTCTGTGATTTTCAGCATCATTACTCCAGTCTTCAGTGTCACATGATCTTCAGAAATCATTCTAATATGCTGATTTGATATGTTGTGCTGATGAATATTGTTGTGGAAATCTTGCTACATTTAATTTTTCAGGATTCTTTGATGAATAGAAAGTTCAAAAGAACAGCATTTACTCAAGAAAAAAAAATCTTTTGTAACTTAATGAATGTCCTTCTTTCACTTTTGATCAATGTAATGGATTCTGGGTAAAAAAAGTTTTTTTGTGGTAGAGTGGTAGTTTAAAGGGTTCGTTCACCCAAGAATGAAAATTCTGTCATTAATTACTCACCCTCGTGTTGTTCCAAACCCGTAAGACCTTCGTTCATCTTCGGAACACAATTTAAGATATTTTTGATGAAATCTGAGGGCTCTCTGACTCTCCCATAGACAGCAAGGTAACTACCACGTTCAAGGTCCAGAAAAGTACCAAGATGATCGACAAAGTAGTCTGTGTGACATCAGTGGTTCAACTGTAAAGTTACGAAGCTATGAGAATACTTTTTTGCGCAAAGAAAACAAAAATAACGACTTTATTCCACATTTTCGTCTCTACTGCGTCACTTTGGACATGCGTTCACGACAGTATCATCATCATCGTCATCACACCGGATCTGGGTCAGCGCCGGCGCCGCCACACTCTCGCGTATATATTACTGTCGTGAACGCGCGTCCAAAGTGACGCAGTAGAGACGAAAATGTGGAATAAAGTCGTTATTTTTGTTTTCTTTGCGCAAAAAAGTATTCTCATAGCTTCGTAACTTTACAGTTGAACCACTGATGTCACACAGACTACTTTGTCGATCATCTTGGTACTTTTCTGGACCTTGAACGTGGTAGTTACCTTGCTGTCTATGGGAGGGTCAGAGAGCCCTCAGATTTCATCAGAAATATCTTAAATTGTGTTCCGAAGATGAACGAAGGTCTTACGGGTTTGGAACAACACGAGGGTGAGTAATTAATGACAGAATTTTCATTCTTGGGTGAACGAACCCTTTAAATGTGGCTTGGGTGTAAAGAGTTTCTGTGTCATGTGACTCCTGGTGTGTCCCGTGCGGTTCAGGGAGCGGAGAGACAGGCATCGCTCGAAGAGCAGAGACAGCAGCAGCAGAGGAGACAAGTCTGTGACCATCCAGGCCCCTGGAGAGCCACTGCTGGACGCCGAGAGCACACGCGGGGATGACCGGGTCAGTGCACGCTGCTAGAAGACACACACGGACAAAGAGTGTGTGTTTGGAAATCATTTCACTTAATGTATGCATGAAGGGGAACCACCATTGAGAATAATGCACCAAAAAACCCCTCAAAAGTAAAAGATCAGGACACATCGAATCTAAGTTAAAAACAGTTATTTTCTTTGGCGTTCGACCAGCTGTAGAGATTTGTTCGAAGATGTTTATGTCTACTCTCTTTTATTATTATGATATTTTCTAGCTCTGTATTGATTTTTGTAAAGCACGTTGGTCAGTATGTTGTTTTTAATGGTGCTATGTTCATAAATATAGTGGGAAATGTGTCATGAATGTGACTGTACAAAAATATTGTTTCCTAAAATAGTGCATTTTCTTTATGCTTTAGAATAAAATGTAATAAAATGACTTAATGAACAGTGAGTACTTGTCTGGCACTGAAATGAATATAAAGTACAACAAAAGTGCCATAGCATCAGTCCATGTGACCAGTGTTGTTTTAATAATATTTATATAGTATATTTATTTGGCTTTCAAAGTTTTTTAAAATAGTTCTATTTATCTTTATCATCATTACAGTTTTAGTTAGTAATTTTAGTATTTAAACAACTTGGGAGCTGACTGAAATAAGTTTTTTCCTTTTAATTTTCTTAATTGTTAATTACATTTTCTTTATTTCGCATGTTATCTGATTTAGTAATTTTAGTAAAATAAGTTTAGCTTAAACTTACTTTGGTTAGTTGCCAAGGCTGCGGTTTAATGATTTTTTAAGTTAAAGTTTTTCATCTAATGCTTATTTTAGTCTCGGCTCTTTAAATAATTTGTAATTATTTTATTGTTGTATTTAAAATGTTTTAATTTTAGTGGATGTTTCACTCATTTTGTTATATTGTCATTTTTGTAAGTAGTTTTTTTTGTATTCTTTTTTTATTTTTATTTTATTTCTATTTAGCGGTTTTATTAATTTTAGTAATTTAATTTAAAAATTAGAAATTTTGCCTCGGCAACTGACTGAAATAAGTGTTTTTTTTTTCCCTTTAATTTTCTTAATTTTTTCTTATTTTCTTTTTTTCCCACCATGTTATCTGATTTATTAATTTTAATAAAATAAGTTTAGCTTAAACTTATTTTGTTTAGTTGCCAGCTCTTTCAATTATTTTTCATTATTTTATTGTTGTATTTATTTACTATCATTTTAGTGGACTTTTCAGTCATTTTATATTCTTTTGTCATTTTTGTTAGTTTTTGTATTCTTTATTTAATTTTTAATTTTTTTCTATTTAGCTGTTTTATTAATTTTAGTAATTTAACTTAAAATTAGAAATGTTGCCTTGGCAACAAGCTGAAATAAGTTTCTCATGTAATTTATCTCAGCTTTATCCAGTAATCCGACATGATCCAGTAATGGTTTTAATCCACAAAAGCAGCGCTGCATGTGACTCCTGTGCGTCTCCTGATTGGCCGCTCGTTGTCCCTCTCAGACTGTCTCTCTCTCGGTCTCTCGTCAGGATGATAACTGGGGCGAGACCACCACGGTTGTGACCGGGACGTCCGAGCACAGCGTGTCTAACGAGGACCTGACGCGGGCGTCTAAGGAGCTGGAGGACTCGTCGCCGCTGGAGTGCCGTCGCTACGCGGGGCCCGTCCTGAGCGGCGTTCTGGGTCTGTTCGCGCTCCTGACGCCGCTGGCCTTCCTGCTGCTGCCCCAGCTGCTGTGGCGCGACTCCCTGGAGCCCTGCGGGACCCCGTGTGAGGGCCTCTACGTCTCGCTGGCCTTCAAGCTGCTGGTGCTGCTCATCTCGTCCTGGGCTCTGTTCCTGCGGCCGCCCCGCGCCTCGCTGCCACGCTTCTTCGTCTTCCGCTGCCTCCTGATGGCGCTGGTCTTCCTCTTCGTGGCCTCGTACTGGCTCTTCTACGGCGTGCGGGTGCTGGAGCCGCGAGAGCGAGACTACAGGGGCATCGTGGGATACGCCGTCTCTCTGGTGGACGCGCTGCTGTTCATCCAGTATCTGGCGATCGTGCTGCTGGAGGTCAGGCACCTCAGACCAGCCTTCTGCCTCAAAGTGGTTCGCACCACCGATGGGGCCAGCCGCTTCTACAGCGTGGGCCACCTCAGGTTAGTGACTGAACTTGTTACGAGGAAGGATTGCTGAAGTAATCCTTGAAATTAATGCACATTATGGTTACGGCAGCTGATGATTGTAATTGAGATCTAGGCGCTCTGATGTGTAACAGTGATGAACAATCCCCATTGAGTTGCTAATGTGTTTAGATATATATGTGACCCTGGAGCACAAAACCAGTCATAAGGGTCAACTTTTCAAAATTTAGATTTATGCATAATCTGAAAGCTGAATAAATAAGCTTTCCAGTGGTGTATGGTTTGTTAGGATAGGACAATATTTGGCCGAGATACAACTATTTAAAAATCTGGAATCTGAGAGAAAAATAGATAATTTTGACCCATACAATGTATTGTTGGCTATTGCTACAAATATACCCCAGCGACTTAAGACTGCTTTTGTGCTCCAGGGACACATATGCGCTTAGGGTCTGATGTTTTCAAAAATGTTCAAAATCGGATGCAAATATTGTATTTGCTGTTTTCTCACGTGCAACAAGCCGCAATCCGCGAGAAAATGTAGCAGAAATCAAACCGATTGAAGTGTAAATGCAGCTTGATTGTGTTTTTGCAGGATCCTGATGCTTTTGTTTGTCAGTCGGCTTCCGTTTGTGCTGCTGTCTCTATTTTAGCAACATGTAGTGGAAATAACGCATGATTTGTGGGGGAAAAATCTAATAGTGATTATTCTTTTTATTTTTTCCCTGATAAAAATAGATTTTTTTTTTTAGGCTCCAGATGTTCTGTGCTTCTTTGTACACTATTATTATTATTATTATTGATTAATATTAAAGCAATAATCCCCGTGAAGCCGTGGTTTACAGTGAATTTATAACAGCTTAAGGGGCGTTGTTAGGCACGACGTTCGAACGCGGCTCAGCCAATCAGAATCAAGGACCGGAACTCTCCGTTCTATAATATTAAATAAAAAAGAAATTACAATTGTAAAATGAAACATTTCTGGCTGTCTTTCTATATTTTCAAACGTTAATTATCAAGTTTTTTTTTAATTATTATTTTGGCAGAAAACCGCCGGGAGATCATGTGTTTCTTGTCGATTTGTAAATGCTTTTCATTACAATTTTGGGAAGCTGGTGTTCACATGTTTTTCTTCACTCTGAAACACTGTGCACACATTTATTTCCTTAAAATGCCGCTTTGACGATTTGATAACAGCAATAATCCATATTGCTATTTCTATTTTATTTCAATTGATCGTGCATCCCTGGAATAAAGCAGTAAGTAATGCTATAAATGAAGTTGTGTGTGTGTGTTGTCAGCATCCAGCGAGCAGCGGTGTGGGTTCTGGATCACTACTACACTGATTTCCCAGTCTACAACCCTGCTTTACTCAACCTGCCCAAGTCCATCCTGTCTAAGAAGAAGTCTGGATTTAAGGTGTACTCCCTGGGAGAAGGTACACCCCATCTTTCCCATGTCACAGCTTGGTTTCCTTTTCACAGAGAGTGATTGAGAGCGAGCGAGAGAGAAGCCTGTGTTTATTTCCACTGCTTTCCTCTCCAGATAACAGCACCAATAACTCGACGGGTCAGTCTCGCGCGATGATCGCCGCCGCCGCACACAGACGGGACAACTCTCATAACGAATACTACTACGAGGAGGCCGAGATGGACCGCAGGGTCAGAAAACGCAAGGCCAGGTCAGAGTCCTGAAGAAAAACGCTCATGAATAAATCATGAATATCTGGGTGAATCTCACAAGCCAGAAAAAGTGAAAAATTACTACATTACTAAAAATGATCTAATGAATATATAAAACTCATTGAATTTATCAAAATTTAGATGGAAATTGTTTAATTATGAAAAGAATCAATGCAGAAAATCTTACGTATGCATGTTTTTATTTAATTTTTAGAAATAGATCCTGATAAATCGTGAATATCTGCGTGAATCTCACAAACAAAAAAAAAAGTGAAAAATTACTGTTGCATTAATGACAATCTAATGAATATACGAAACTCATCGTATTAAAAAAGAAAATGTTATGAAAATAATCAGTGCAGAAGTCTTATGTATGCATGTTTTTATTTATATATTTGTATTATTTTTAATTATTACATTTTTTTATTGTATTTATTTAATATTTATTATATTATTTTTTTAATGCATTTTTATTTTATTTTGTGTTAGTTTTTTGTATGCATGTTTTTATTTAATTTTTATTATTATTATTTTTTTCATTTTTATTTGTATTTATTTATTTATTTAATTTTATTTTGATTAATTTTATTTATTATTTATTATTTTGTTTATTTGTATATTTTATATAAATTTTTTTTTGGGTTTATTATATTATTTAATTTTTTTTTATATTTGTATATTTTATTTATTATTATTATTTTTCTTTCTTTATTTATTTATTAATTTGTTTGGAGTGAATTGTGACCTGGACATGCTTTCATGAAGAAATAGATCCTGATAAATCGTGAATATCTGCGTGAATCTCACAAACAAAAAAAAAAGTGAAAAATTACTGTTGCATTAATGACAATCTAATGAATATACGAAACTCATCGTATTAAAAGAAAATGTTATGAAAGTAATCAATGCAGAAGTCTTATGTATGCATGTTTTTATTTATATATTTGTATTATTTTTAATTATTACATTTTTTTATTGTATTTATTTAATATTTATTATATTATTTTTTTAATGCATTTTTATTTTATTTTGTGTTAGTTTTTTTTTGGGGAGTGAATTGTGACCTGGACATGCTTCCATGAAGAAATAGATCCTGATAAATCATGAATATCTGGGTGAATCTCACAAACCAAAAAAAAAAGTGAAAAATTACTAAAAATGATCTAATGAATATATAAAACTCTTTGTATTGATCAGAATTTAATTGTGACCTGCACATGTTTCCATGAAGTTCATCTGATGTCCCTGACTCTTATATTCTGTTGTGTTTTCTCCTCCCAGACTGGTGGTGGCAGTAGAGGAGGCGTTCACTCACATCAAGAGGCTCCAGGACGACGAGGCGGCGACGTCGCCCAAGCACCCGCGTGAGGTGATGGACCCTCGAGAGGCAGCCCAGGCCATCTTCGCCCCCATGGCACGAGCCATGCAGAAGTACCTGCGCACGACGCGCCAGCAGCCCTACCACAGCATGGAGAGCATCATAACTCATCTGCAGTTCTGCATCACTCACAACATGACGCCCAAGGTCAGCAAACACACCCGTCCACTGCTGTAACTCACGGTTTCTGTGGTGTGTGTGTAGAGTATCAATGCAATACCCATCACATACTATATGTGCACTATATTAGCAGACCTTACTGTGTACTGTATGCAGCATAGTGAGGTAACGAGACTCAAAAGATCTAGTATACTACATTTGGAAATATTGTTCGAATTTGAATATACTACTCAGCATTGCATAGGGAATAGTTTTATTTGATTGACATTTTTAAAATTATTTTTGACAGATTTAGTTTTTAGCAAAAAAAAAACAGATTTTAAAAATATCAAAAATAGTTAAAAAGCATTTTTTAAATGTTATTGTATTTATTTTTATATTAATGTTCTTAAATTAATATATATATA